GAGGGCTGTGTGCCCACCAGTCTCTGAAAGTTGCGGAGGAGGTCAGGGCCTATCCCTGCCCGGCAGCTTGTGAGAGGATTTTTTTCAGCAAAGCACCATGTGCTTTTTGAGATTTGCAAAAATGAGGTTCACTTTTTGTGTGTGGTACCGGGGATTGAAGCCAGGAATGCTCTACCACTGAGTTACACCCTTAGTTCCCCTTTTTATTTTGAGAAAGGGTCTCACTAAATTGCCCAAGTGGGACTCAGATTTGCAGTCTTCCTGCCTCAGCCTCCCAAAGTGCTAGGATTACAGTACCAGTACACCCTGCTAAAAAAAGTTTTTCACAGTTTCCACACGATTGGTTGAGAGTCTGGGGGAGGGCAGTAGGCCTGGGGTGTCCCTTGGGAGGCTCCCGCGGAGCCCAACCAGAGCCCCTGCCCCTGGAGGGCCGCACCTTTTTCAGGTACTCCAGGAGATCCACGTACAGCAGGCGGATGTTCTGGCTGGTGGTGATCTTGATGGTCGTCTTTTCGATGCTGTTCTCCAGCTGGCGGATGACCTGGGGCAGGCAGAGGGCTCAGTGAAAGCGCTTGGGACAGGCCATCAGGGGTGCAGACGGTCAGAGATGGGGAGTCGCGCTCCTCGAGGCCCCCGCCCACCTGCAGCAGCCGCGCCTCCTCCTTGGTGGCCTCGGGCTGGCTGCGCAGGCGCGTTAGCTCCAGCTGCATGCTCTCTAGCTGCTGCCCGCGCCGCCGCACCAGGTGGGTCAACGCATTGTGCACGTTCACGCGGTCGAAGACAGACTTGCGCAGCTTCTCATGCGCCACCTGGTGGGGGCGTGCGTGGGTGCTCCAGGGGCGCCGAGGGTCGGGGGTGGGGGAACGCCTGGCTGCCCTTGCACACCCCCGAACCCTCGGCCAGCCCCGCGCCGCCATCGAGCGGGTACCTCCATGGTGCTGCGGCCATGCGCTAGCCTCATGTGCACGTCCTTCCCGCAGGCCTTGGCGATGGCGCGCTGGTCGTACTGCGGGGGGCGCGCGTCAGCTGGGCGCCTCCTCGGGGCCGCTTCTACCCCAGGCAGGAGCCCGGCTCCTGGGGCCGCACCAGCCGAGCGCTCGGGAGGGCTGGGGGCTCGGGGAGCAGGGCCCGGGGTCCCCAGGCGGGCGCCCAACTGCAGGCGCGCGCTCACAAGCTGGGCCCTGGGATAGGTGTGAGCCCCGCGCGCACCCGCCCGACGGCGATGGGGTCTGCGCGCGCCCCTCCCGCGTGCCCGCCGCTTCCTGGCTGCAGGGAGGGCGGGGCTTGGGTACCTTCTTGGCCAGAGTCCACTCGTGCGCCCCTCGGCGGATATTGCTGCGCAGCAGGCCCAGCGTCGCCTTGTTCTGCGTCGTCTTCTCCTTCATCGCCTGGGTCTGGAGCGCCCGACATTGCTCTGGGGGCAGTGAAGGAGACAGGGTGGCTGGGGTGTGTGTCAGGGCCTGGCCCCGTTGGGGAAGCCAGGAGGACAGGCCTCGCCTCGGGCTGCTCCTCCACCCTGCCTGTGTGGACGCGTGCCCCACTGCACCCCAGGGCTCTCAGTGGAGGGGATGCTGGCAGGGGACAGAGTGAGCCCTGGGTGGGGGGCATCCTTGGTGTCTGGGTCCCTTCCTGGCCCCGTTGCCCCAGGATATGCCCACACATCCACACATCCTTTCAGAGTCCCTGCCTGGTACAGCCCCCTTCCCTGGCAGTCCCCGGGGCTGGGAGCCGGCAGTAGGATGACCAGTTGCCTGCCCCACCACATCCTGGTATTGAACCTGAAAGCCCTGTGCCATGAACCCCTGCTCAGGGCAGCCAGGGTGGGGTCCCCAGCATGGGGCTCACCCTGGAGCCGGGTGATGGTCTTCAGCTCCTGTATCTGTCCCTCCATGTTTGCGTCTTTGTGCACCTTCATGGTGGCCCACGGGGTCCCCGGGGAGGCCTGTGCACCTCTCGCCTTCCCTGTGGGCTGCCTGCTCAGTGGAGGCAGGTGCAGATTATTCCTGGAATTTCGGGCCATTGTGATGGGACCAGGTTCTCAAGGCTGGGAGCCCTGGATTCCGGCCCCACCCCAGTGGGCCTCAGGGTCACCTCTGGCCATTTGCTTGTCTGGTGGGGAAGGCTGTGTGGTGGCCACGCGCTGTGCAGGAGCTCTTCTGGGGCCCGGGCACCTCTCAGTGGTGGTGGGATTTGTGATGGCTCAGGACAGGGCCCTGCACCTTCTGTATCCCCTGGCGTGCCCCAGGGCCAGTTCTACAAAGCGCTGGGCAGAGCCTCCCCAGCAGGTCTTTGCTTTCCTTTATTTCTGCACACTTGCCCCAGTTCAGAGCCTGCACCCTGTGTGACAGGCTCATGTCTGCAAACCTACACTGGGCCATCTCTTTTCACTTGTCCTCCTGACCTGCTGGGCCTCCCCTGCCCTCAGCACCCTGGGCCGTGGTGCGGAAACTGCTCACCCCAGGAGAGGCTGGTTCAGGCTCTGTGGGGTGCGGGAGACAGCAGCTCTCCTGACCTGCTCTGGTGGCCCTGCCAGGCTGCTCTGGCAGCACCAGGGACTGGCTGTGTGCGTGACAGGTGTTTATTGCTCCCATCCTGAGGCTGGAGTCCAAGCTCAAGGTGTTGAAGATTGGTTAAGGCCTTTCTTTTTCTGGGCTTTCCTGTGTCCTCCCAGAGTTGCTCCCTGGGCATGTGTGTGTTCTAATCATCTCTTCTCAAGAGGAGTTCATTTAGGCCTTCAGAGCGGATCGGCACCCTCCAGCCCTATTTACCCTTTATTGAAGCCTGTTCAAGGCCCTGTCCTCAAACAGCCACGTTCCGGGTCCTGGGGCCACCACCAGACCATGCCGTACACTTCCGGATGTGGACACGACCCCTTCCCCTGGCCTCACGCAGACTGCTTCCTCGGGTCACTTCCCAGTGAGTGTAAAGCCCGGCACTCACCCCACCACCTGAGCCCAGGCCTTACCCCCAAGGGGCTGGAAGGACCTGCCGAGGGCACAGTCTGCCCATATCCTTCAGCTCTCGGGAACCCAGGCAGGCGCCTGGCTAAGCAGAGCTGACCTGCTGACCCTGTGCTGGCTTCTTTCTCCTCACATAGACTCCCAGGGTTTTAGTGGGACGACGCGTGGCAATGCAGAGGAAGGCTGCCTTCCTGCGTGTGTCACGGGACTGTTTTGGGTCACAGTGTACAAGCAGGAGTGTGGCTGAACTGCTCTCTTCTCCCCTGTTCTTCTTACTATTAAATGCAGTGAAGACAATGGTTGAAGCTGGTGCAGCCCGTAGAACCCTGAGGGGGGTTTGGGGTGGGCCCCATTACAGTGAGGAACAGTCTAAAAGGAGCCTGGGCCCCTGACCGGATAACAACCCTCCCCACGGCTGTGGTTTGAATGTGGTCTGTCCTCTATGCTGGAGTTTAATCCCCACTGGGAGCTATTAAAGTGGAAACTTACTCCAGTCATGGTGTTTGGAAGTGGGGGGTGATAAGTTAGAGAAGGGGACCCACCATTAAATGCTGGTGGCTGTGTAAGAAGGGAGAGGCCAGAAGACACAGACACGTGTGGTGTCTCTGGACACGTGATGCCTGTGCCACCTCCAGACTGCTGGTAAGATGGCCCTCACCAGCTGGGTATCTATAATCTCAGCACTTGGAGCGGGGTATGGTGGCACATGCCTATAATCCCAGCACTCGGGAGGCTGAGGCAGGAGGATCATTGCAAGTTTGAGACCAGCCTGGGCTACAAAGTGAGATGAAGTCCAGCCTGAACTGCATAGTGAGACCCTGTTTCAAAAAGACAAAACAAAAAAAACAAAAAATAAAAAACCCTCAGCACTGGGGAGGCTGAGGCAGGAGGATCATTGCAAGTTTGAGACCAGCCTGAACTACAGTGAGACCCTGTCTCAAAAACAAAAATAAAAACAAAAACAAAACACACACAAGCAGAAAAGAAAAGGTGGTAGCCATCATTAGATGTGGCCCTTGACCTTAGACCAGAATGAGCCGGAAGAAAACCCTTCCTTGATGACTCACCCAACCCACGGTGTCTTGTGGGCAACAGAAAGCAGATTCTCAAAACATCAACCCTAGCACACTGCTGCCGCCCCTGGTGGCATGGGCCTTCCCTGCTGTCTTCCCACTGACTCAGAGAGCGCGTGCTCTGCAGGCCCCTCTGCAGGCCTGGCAAGGCCGGGGTGAGAGTGGGGCTCAGGGTGGCCCTTCCAGCGCCGCTGGGCAGCAAGGTTGTAAACAGCCTCTGTGTCTTCCTCTTCTGGGAGGGGTGCTGTGGTGCTGCGGATGTGGGCCACCCAGGGCCGGCCTGTGGACAGAGCTCCAGGGGGCCAGCTCTGCTCCTACTCTGCTCAGGAGAGGGATGTCTGAGAAGCAGATGGATGTGGCCCCCTATAACTCTGGGAGCCAGAGCGGGTTCTGTCTCCCTCGCTCCTCTGCTTTACTCCCCACCCCCAGCCCCTGTGGTCTCACCCAGCCCTCAGGGCCAGCAGAAAGTCTGGGCTTCTGCACTGGGAGCTCCCCTGTACCCCTGCAGCGCCAGCTGATGGTCATAAAGGTGACACCTAACCCTTGTTTCTCAGCTGCTTTAGAGCTCAGGTGGTGTCTTGTTACTGTTCTCATTGCTGAGACAAAATACCTGAGGCCCAAAGTTAAGGGAGGAAAAGTTTATTCCGCTCACAGTCTGTAGAGGTTTCAGTCCATAGTCAGCTGGCTCTAAGGCAGGGTGGCTTGACAGGCAGACATCGAAGAGGAGAAACAGTTCATGGAGGCCAGAAGGTAGCAAAGCAAGCAAGAGAGCACAGTTTTTCTATCTCTTATATCTTATCCAGACTACTTAGGGTGGTAGCATTCACACCTTTAATCCTAGTGCCCTTTGTCCTAGCATTGCACCATGAGTCAATTCCAGCATCACACACTCTAGATCCAGCCACCTCTGAAAAGCCCCACCTATGACCGCATGAGGCTTTGAGGGGACATCTAGGCACAAGCCATATTAGGTGGGAAGCAAGGCAAGCTGTTTATTACCCGACACCCCCAGCACCCGCTGTGTCCTTGGGCTGGCTGGGGAGCAGACAGGTGGACACCACAGTATCAGAGGGCCTGGAAGTCCTGTCCACCATGCGCTGGCTGCTCTCTCCAGAACATGTGCAGCAGGACACAACCCTCTCAGGCTTGAGTGCTGATCCTGAGGAGAATCCCCTGCCCCAGCCCTGCCAGGCCTTTCTGAGCCAACCTGGGCAGGTCCTGGGTGTGGGCAGCAGCGGTGGTGGTGGTGGTGGCGGTGGTGGCGGCGGCAGCAGCAGGTGTGTCAGGCCTGGTCATGTATGTATGAGGTGGTCTGGAGTTGGGGGTGCTAAGGACTGTGTTCCAGGACTCCTCCTGCCCCTGATCTGTGCCCTGGCTGCAGCTCTCCTATCGGGACTGACCTTTAAGAGGCGAAAGGAGACAGCTGGAACCATGTCCACACCTGCTCAGGGTCCCTGCCCTCATTTTGTCAAAAACTGGGTCCTGTAACAAGGACAGCAGGCTTGGGATCCGTCAGCTGGTGTGGGATGCAGGTCTCTTGGAGAGGGTCTCTTCCTGGGTGCCCAGCTCCTTGCTTTTCCCTCTGGGTCACCCCAGCTTCCTGCAGTGCCCACTCCCACTCCAGCCCTTTCAGGATGATGGGCGGCCAGAGGGAGAAGCCGGTCCAGCCTGTCACTTGGATCTCTGAGCTTGACTGCCACAAACTCCAGCACCCCTGCCTCACTGGCCCCTGCCTCACTGGCCCTCTCACCTGTGTCCCTGTCTCTGGGGAGCTGCCCCGTCTCCAGGAAGAGCCAGAGGTTGCTGCATTTCTGCGTCTCTGCTCTGGTCACCCCGTAGCTGGCCACAGAGCCTGCAACTGGGGATCAGGAAGCAGGAGTCTCAGGCCCATGCTTCTTGGGTTGGGGATGGGGGTCATGACCAGTGGGCTTGGGCAGGGCTCCCACACAAACGTCAGCCCCAGGCCAGAGGCAGGGTGCCCCCATCCTCGGCAGAAACCCACCCTGGCTGAAGAGCCAGGCCAGGGCCTAGGAGTCCACCTTGGAGTACCCACCCACGGCTGCCAGGACGCTCCACTGCATCGGGTAGGGGAACTTTCTCTGGATGAGAATCTGCAGGCCGAAGGTCCCGCTGGTGCCTGCAGAGAGCCAAGGTGCCCTGGTCAACCAGCGCTGGCAGGGACCACCTGGGTATCCAGCGTGCACCCGCGGGCAGGGGACTCGGCGCCACCTGCTGGGGAGGGAGGGTGAGACAGGAGGGCGCGTTCTCCAGTCCAGGACACCTGCACGAGCCTACCTGCCACAAAGGTGAGCACGCCCTTCATGAAGGCGTTGGACTGGCACGCGGCGTACTCCCCGAGTCCCTGGGGTGGGGGACCAAGGCTCAGTGCCTGTCCCGTCCTCCCTGCCCCCCGCCTTCCGTTCCTCCCGTTGACAGCCAGGGCTGGACACGTCCCATCTCCCCAACCCCTCCAAGATGCGCTACCCGCTCGCCCCTTCTCCCTGCCCAGGTCAGCTGAGGCCTGGGGCCCTCGTCCTAGGGCAGCCTTCTCACCGGGTGCTTGGCGGCCACGGCGTCGTCCACACGGGACAAGCCTAGGTTCACCATGGCTGGCCGGGCGGCGGGAGCGCGCCTGCGCAGGAGGGCAGAGGTGGGCGAGGCCTGGCCCTGGGCGTGGCCTGAGGCTCCGGCTCGGGCGGGGCGGGGCGGGGCGGGGCGGAGGCACAGGCTCGGGGGCGGGGCTTGGAGCGCGCCTGGTACAGCGTGGCGGATCCACCACGCTCCAGTTCTGAGGCCGCCCTGCCACCTCCGGGGTGGGAACGTGGGCACAGTCCTGGGCCACACGCGGAGCGTGCTTTACAGTATTATTTGTATGAAAGGGGCCTTGCTTCCGGACTGCGGCCAAGCGCTAAGTTTACTGAAAGGGATCGTGGACTTGTGAGGTTAAAGTTAAGACTTATCAAAGCAATTCCAGAAACACTATTAAACCCTGTTATGGTGCCCGTTCTGTGCTGGGAGCGGTAGGTCCACGGAAAATTCACCGCTCTGCCCTCACTGAACCGGCTAGTTGCATCGGTTAGCAGAGCTGGCCAGCCACCTGAGTCCGGCCTACACTGCTGCAGCCCTGTCCTGTCCCACCTGCACCTGCTGAGCTACCCTGATCCTGCCTGGGCTGCACGCTGCGTGCCTCCCTCTCCTGGCCCGGCTGTATCCTTCTTCTGGACCTGGGGCCCCTCTCAGCCTGGGTGAATGGTGAGTGACCACTGTGGCCTCTTCCCAGAGCACCAGGGGGAAGAAGCTGGACCCTTCCAGGGGCCAGACCCATAGGCTGGGGATGGGAGGAAGAGGGGAGCCCAGCTCCCTCCCCAAGCCCTGGACACACACGGTCCCCACCCAGCAGCCTCCTCTACCACAAAGCTCCATGGCCACCCTGGGCACGGAGGCCACAAGAGGGTGGCCAGTTCTGGACACATGCTCAGAGTGCCAAGGGGGCTGGATGGATGGTGATCCAGGGGCTCTGCTCCTCACCTGTGGGCTCCTTGCCTTGCGATCACTTGCTTGGCCTGGGCCATGCTTTTGACACCCAGGCCCGGGAGTGCTGGGCTGCACCCCAGTCCTCCCCCTCTGCCCCTTCTGGGGAGGACATGCCTTGTCTCCTGGGAGTGATAGAGACAGGTCTCAGCCAAGCCTCAGTCCCCTGGGCCTCAGTTTTCCTGTGCCTAGGAGGTGGGGCTTTGCCCCTTGGGCATGTCCCGGATGCCTGCTGGTCGGCTTTCCTCTGCTCGGCAGTCAGGCCGTGACCAGGGCTCCTAGGCTGTTCTCCTGCACTGCCTATTGGCCCCTTGGCACTCTGAGCATGTGTCCAGCGCTGGCCACCCTCTTGTGGCCTCCGTGCCCAGGGTGGCCAAGGAGCTGTTGTGGTAGAGGAGGCTGCTGGGTGGGGGCAGTGTGTGTCCAGGGCTGCAGGGGTGAGCTAGGCTCCCTTCTTCCTCCCATCCCCAGCCTACAGGTGTGGAAGTGGCCCCTGGAAGGGTCCAGCTGCCTCCCCTTGGTGCTCTGGAAGAGGCCACAGTGGTCTTGGTAGCCTCTGGCCTGGGCTTTGAGCTCAGGCCCACCCTCTTCCTGTCTCCTAGCTGGGACCCTGAACGGCCTCCTAGAGGAGGTGCTCAGGCCCAGTACTTTACCTTTCTGATCTTAATTGATGCTGGGTTCACCGTGGCCCTCAAATGCTGGCTCATGTGCTGCGTAGAGCCCAATAGTGAGGGCAAAGGCCAGGTGGGGCACTGCAGAGAGCACCTTGCTGTCTGTGGCTTTGTGGGACCCCTTCCATCAGTGTCCCCATGTAGCCTGGCGCAGTGGCCTGTCCTCTGCAGCTTGGATCTTCATCTCGGCGACCTCATAGGAGCAGTTGTGTCCTTGGCTTGACAGCCAGTTGATGCCACTGGCATAGCTGTTGTGGCAGCCAGGCAGGTGGCACCTGTGAACAGAGACATACAGTTTTTCAAGGTGTTCCTATCATTGTCTTGTCCTGGTTCATGAAGCACATGTCCCTATGCTTCAGCAGGGTGTGTCCTGGAAAGAGCTGCACCGCCACGCTTCCTAGGGGACCTACCTGCCGTGCCCCAGCACCAGCCTGTGCTTCTGCTCTCTGGACACCTGGGACGAGATGAACCCGGCGTAGGAGGCTTCATCTTGAAATTCCCACAGATTAACCCAGAGCTTCTGGCACCCTGGCACTGTGGGTGGGAAGAGGGAGGGAGGGCTGAGCCCTGGGCTGCCCGAGGACAGCGTCTGGGAGGGTGACCTGTCCCTCTTGATGGGAAGCTGGGACTGGCCCAGGAGCTGCAGCCTCACCGCCAGCTGTGAGCAGGGGCAGGTTGTTGTTGCCCAACTGGGACTCTGTGCCCCAGTTGCCAAAGCCTCTCTTGTAGGAGTCCCAGTTCCAGAAGAAGCTCAGAGAGCTGTCCACTGGTCGCTGGGAAAGCCATGGTACAGCGGGATGGCCTGTGCTGTGGACCTGGGCCACGGGGAGCAGGGCCTCAAGAGGTCAATCCACGCCCTGCCCACCTTCCCATAGAGCAGGGAGAAAACAGGGATGAGGGTCGCGGAGGCAGATGGTACCAGCTGGCCAGGACACTGCCACAGGCCAGCCTGTCCTTGCAGCTCCGTGCCCTGGGAGCACGAGCAGCCCTGGGGAGGCCCCTGTGCGGCCACAGCAGTCAGGTGGGTGAATGGAGAGGCCGCTCACTGGTCTGGCACAGGGTGTCCCCTAGCTCCTTCTCCCATGGGCAGGGGACAGGGATGTCTGCTTTCACTGGGGTGTTTTCAAGGCCCACCACGGCATAGCAGGAAGCAGCCTCCCTCCCTTTTGATGCAGAACACCACCCTGTGACAGATCACACTGTGCACACACGTAGTTAGTGGTTTTAGCCTTGGCACCACCATGAAGCATGACTGTCCTGTTCCAGGACCCCACGCCCCCCGGGGGCATCCACACATGGCCCTTAGCCGGCACCCTGTGGCCACTGCTGGTCTGTACCTCGCACCCAGGGACACGTGTCCACCTGCTCGTCCTGCGCCCTCCCCACCTAACACATTAATGTTATCCTTTAGTTATTGTGGACTGATCAGGCCCACAGTCTCCCAATGAGTGGATGGCAAAGGCTTAAATAAATGAGTGGTATGATTTTAGGGCTCTAGGAGGATCAAAACCCTCCAACAGAATTCAAGGTTCTCTGGGGCCTAAGGCAAAGATGTTCTCTAAGCGCCTGTATTTATAGGTTATTAAACAAAGGCCAAAATCTGAGAAGGACTGTTCAAGGACCTTGGAAGTCCACTCAAGGGCTTCTCCAAGACATTCCGTCTATTTAGGAGGACTATCTTATCTCCAGGAAAGTCTCCACTGCAGGAAGGAGATGCCTGCAGCTACAGTCTTTAGCTAATTGAGGTTGGAGCCAGGTGTCCTTAGCTGTGGCCTTAGACAAGGGGCCTAGGCCTTGGACAGACTCACAAGTAAAGATGAAAAACCAATTGGCTAATTTAAATCCTGCTCAGAGGGCCAGGGATACAGCTCAGTGGCATAAGCGTCTGCCTGGCAAGCGCAAGGTCTTGAGTTTGATTCTCGGTACCAAAAAACAAAAACAAAAACAATCCTGCTCAGAGCCACTTCGTAGTGATCTCCCTCACCCACCGGTCTTCTGAGGACATATCAGTGTGTGGTGCCCTTGCCCCATGCCAGGCCCTGGCAGCTGTGTCCTGTGCTGAGCACTTGGGGATGGGCATTGCGAGGCCCTCACTGGCATGAGTGATGCTGGTCTTGCCATACGCCCCCCCAGGCCAGTGTGCTTCCCTCCACCCACCTCTCTCCATTCAGCCGGTGTTAGGACAGAACCGTCCAGGCCCTTTGTGGGGCTGGGTACTGAGGGGAACACGTGCTCCCGCACAGCTCCCGGTGTGCCTGTGTGGGGCGCAGGCAGTGCACCGAGAGGGAGGGTGGCCATGGGTCGTGCACGGCGCTGGGCTCAGGCAGTGGGTAAGGAGGACCCCAGGGAGCAGGCGGCGCTGAGGGATGAGGGGAGAGGAAGGGACAGAGCGCTGCCAGACGAGGTTGTCAGACACTGGGCTGTGGCTGGGTTTTGTGCTCGCTGTCATGGGAATTTGAGGTGGCTTTTAGGAGAAGCACCACATAGAAACATGATGGGGTCTATTTTAGCCACTGCCGGGAGGCTGGACTTCGGGGCAGGTGGCAGGAGGCCTTTGAGGGAAGGATGGTCTTGCATTGAGGCCCTGGGTAGAGGGTCCCCAAACCAAGGCCAGGCTGCTCCAGGAGGGTGCATCTATATTGGCTGAGAGGCTGTCAATTGCAGAGGGCTTTGAGCAGCATGACTCCGCCCATGGGCTTCAGCGGCCATCCCCCTCCCCATTGCCCTGGTTCCCTCCTCCAAGGCTCAGCCTGAGAGTCAGATCGTGGGAGTCAGGGCCTCTGGATGTTGTAGCATCTGTGGGGTCTGTGACCTCTCAGCTTCACGGCCACCCATGTGGCCCACCTTCCTCAGGGACTGCTGTAGCTCATAGCCTTCAGGCCTCCCCAAATCTAAACCCAGGAGATGGCAGTTGGGGGAGGATTTTACCACCATATGAATGTGTTCTCTCTCTCTCTCCCTCCTTCTCTCTCTCTCTCTCTCTCTCTCTCTCTCTCACACACACACACACACACACACACAGTGGGGCGGGTAGTTCGAGCTCAGGATCTTTTCCGGACACCTTGGATAGCAGGAAACCCTACATAAACTATGTTTTTTTCTTTACTTACATCCCTATGATGAAGCTTGATTCATAAATTAGCCAGTGTAAGAGATTAACAGCCAGTAATAACACTGAACAAATGTACCCATACTGCCACTTTGTCTAATACTCTAGGGTTGCCTGATAACCACAAACAGTGGCTATTTGTCATCGTAGACACTGGACAAAGGGACAACTCAGTCCTGCATGGGATAGGGTGGGATTTCATTATGCCATTCAGAATGGTGCACAATTTAAAAATTATAAACTGTTTTTGTTTTGTTTTGTTTTGTTTTTTGAGACAGGGTCTCGCTCTGCTGTTCAGGCTGGCCTTGAGCTCACTTTGTAGCCTACGCTGGTCTAGAATTCACAATGATCCTTCTGCCTCAGCCTCCCAAGTGCTGGGATTACAGGTGTGTGCCACCAGGCCGGGCATAAACTGTTTATTTCGAAAAATTTCTTTAATATTATCAGAGGCTGACTTGGGGTAACTGAACTTCCAAAAGCAAAACTGCATATGGAAATTTCCTCTGGCCCAGCTGTTCTCCTCCTAGCCAGCTCCCACAAAGAGCTAAAGACACCACATTACAGTGATCCATTCACACCCATGTTCATATCAGCACAGCTCAGAGTAGCTAAATGCTGAACTCAGCCTAGATGTCTATGAACAGATGAGTGGATAAAGAAAATGTGGTATTTACACACAGTGGACTACTACTCTGCCATAAAGGAGAAACTTAAGTCATTTGCAGGAAAATGACTGCAGCTCAAGACCATAACGTTAAGTGAAACAAGTGAGACACAGGCTTGAACACTGCGTGGCTTCTCTTATAGGAGAAACCCAGAGTATAAATGAAGACCAAAATAAAGGATCATAAGAAACAGGAAGCGAGATCTTCTGCAGATGGGAAGGGGACCAAGAGGTGGAGGGAGGGGAGCAGAAGGGGAAATGAAAAGAGTTACACTGTGTCATGTCCACACACCAACTTCCAAGAGGACCAGCCCTGATGCACTCCAAAGTGTACTATAAAAATGGAAGAAAGACGGCATGGATAGGAGATGGTGCAGATGCTTCAAAAGCCCAAGGCAGCAGATTTGCCCTCTGTGCTGTACAGCTGTGCTCATCTGCACAAACACAAGTGTTCACGGGCTGCACTGCCAAAGCAGGCAATAGCCCATAGCTGCCCAAGCTCCCAACACCCCTCTGCTCCTCAGCCCCTGGCCCCCACGAGCCGTTTCCTGTCCTCGGTTTGGTGGGGGTGGGAACGGGCCATGTTGCCTTGGGGATCAGGGGTCTTCTCCTCCTTGTTCCTGAGCAGCTGTGCCTAGCAGGGATGGACAGCCTTGTCCTCCTCACAGGGGGGCACCTGGTTGCTTCAAGGTTTTGGTGATTATGACTAAAGTCATTTGCTGGGCGTGTCGGTGCACACTTGTAATGCTAGGGCTCTGAGAGGCTGAGGCAGGAGGACTGAAAGTTCAAGCCCAGTCTGGGCAAATTAGTGCAACCCTCTCTCTCTCTAAAAAACGGGGTATTGGGGATGTAACTCAGTGCAAAGGCCCTGGGTTCCCCCCACTACTACCAACAAAATAGAGTTGGCATCAACAGCCACGTGCAGGATTGGCCTAATCCTGGCTTCATTTCTTTCAGGTAAATCCTGCTAAGCAGGCGGCTCCACAGATGAGCTGTACCGGCCCAGCTCAGTCTCCTCCTCCCTGCAGCCTGAGTTCCAGCTGCCCCCTGGCCTCGCCAGTTCCTGGGTCTCAGTGTTTATTTAAAAGATGCTAGACGCTCTGCAAGGAGCATGGCTGGGTCTCAAACCTGCCTCCATCTGCTGTCCCTGTGACTAATGACGCGCCTCTTTCAGGGCCCTTCTTCTGCATGTCTTCCTGTTTTGGCAGAATGCCTTTTCAGATCTCTTGCTCCTGGTGGGACTGGGCTGCTCATGGCTATGGCTGAGCTTGAGGGTCCTTCAGAGATTCTGACTCTGTCCTTCACTCGGTGTTTTGTGATTGTCTTCCTGTCACTCACTGCCTTCTACCCTGTGATGCCACACACCTGGCAGGGACCTTGGGAGTGGCACCTCGAGGAACCCCAGGACAGCAAGCAGAAGCCCGCTGCTTCTTTCTTCCTTGCACTGGGTATGAGGGGTCTTTCTCTGACTCAATTCCCATGCACTCTGGTGGACTTCAGGTGCTGGCCTTCCTGGTGGCCCTCTGAACACACCCCAGAGGGTCTAGGTGGCATGCCCCAAGGCCACGTGTTGCTCCTGGCCCCAGGTCCTGGACCTGGAAATCAAATCACTGGGGAGCCCTTTTAGTCTCCACTGGCCCTGGCGCCTCCCTGGCATCCTTTTCCCCTGCACAGTTACGGAACTGGTGATAAGGCTGCTGAGATAACATAATCCACCCCAGTGCCGCCAGCTCCCCCTTCCCACATGCACTTGCAGGAGGCCAACTGGCAGCGGGGTGGGTGTCTGGAGGGGGTGCCCAGGGCTCCCACAGCTGGGCTGGCACAGGCTGTGCCCCTGGATGAGGTCTGGAGGCCTGGCCTGGGGGGACCCTGTCCCTGAGTTGGAGGTCAGAGGGAAGGAGTGCTGCTGGGTGCCCCAGACCCAGGTGAGAGCCTGGCTGTCTGGAGCCCTCCAGGAAGTAACCCCTGGGACTGGAGGGGACACCTGAGTGATTGTGCCACACAATGGACAAAGGGGGGCTGGTGTTTCCGAAGTGCCTTCTACAGGCTCCCCAACCGGCTCCTCCTGGGAGCCCTGGCTGGGCTGGGCTATAAAGCTGGGGTCCTGGGCTTGGGGAATCGGGGTGCTAGTACTGGGCAGGCATGGTCATGAGGTCAGAGCTGCTGAGCCTGGTTCTGCTCTGGGTGTCGGTGGCTCGGGCAGAGGTCCTGGTACAGCCCGACTTTGATGCCAAACAGGTACTGGGCCCCAGTGCCGCACCCAGTGGGTGGGGGCTGGACCCCTGTGGGAGCCTTGTGGGTGAGGACAGGAATGCGGCGTCCAGCGGGTCCACTGTGCCCTGCCCAGGAATGTTGTGAACTTGCTGTCCCTCTGCTCTGGACTTGGCCTGGGGACTCCTGTCCACTCTGTCTGAGGCCTCACCCGTGACTTCAGGCACCTCCCTGCTTATGTGGCCGTTGGCTTGGCCCTGGCCCTGGCCCTGGGAAGGGAGGTCCAACTATCCAGCCTGGTGGTCACTGAGCTGTCCTGCAGTTTTCTGGCCTCTGGCATGTGGTCTCCATGGTGTCCGACTGCAAGGTCTTCCTGGAAAATAAGGACCACCTGCTGATGTCTACCCAGGACGTCAATGCCACTGGGAAGGGCGACCTGGGTGTGCACATAGAGCTCCCCCGGTGAGTGGCAGGGCCTGAGGGGCCCGGGTGGGGGGAGCAGGGCTGGGCGCGCGGTGACCAGGCTTGCACCCCAGGAGGGACGGCTGCAAACGGATGGACGTCCGGTATCTGAAGGTGGGCTCTGAGGGGCACTTCAAGGTCCCAGGTAGGTCCACGGTTCTGGTGGGCGGGCCAGGGTGTGTGGACAGCTCTTGCCCTCTCCGTCTCCCCGCGATGGGGCTAGCATGTAGGTTGGTGACTCGGCTCGGGACCCCACGGCCCCCTCGTGATCGCCTCCATAGCCCTGGGTTACCTGGACGTACGCGTGGCGGACACGGACTACAGCTCCTTCGCAGTGGTCTACATCTACAAGGAGCTGGAGGGGGCGCTCAGCACCGTGGTGCAGCTCTACAGTGAGCGTTGCCCCGCCCACCACTCCCTCCCCCTCCTGTCTAGACCCTCCCAGGCCCCGCCCCATCTTGCCGTCCTGCCCACCCACGCCGGCCCTAAGGCCCCGCCCACGCGAGCTGCCCAGCCCACGCCGGGCCACGGCCGCCCTCCCTCTCCCCTTGGGCTCGCAGGCTGGAGCGGGCCTGGCGGGGTCTAGACTGTGCTGGCCCATTGTGCTGGCCCTGATGCACCGGCCTCGGCGCTTGTCCCTCGGGGGTGGGGTGTGGACCCGTGGGGGCCCGCCCTCAAGGAAGGCTTTCCGGGCTCCCCGCGGTGGGGAGGCCCGGGTGAACTGTGGGAGTAGGGGCCGCATCAAGGGCGCCCAAGGAACCGGGTCCGAGAGAGCGAGCGCGGCCCAGGAGCCAGCCGGAAGTGCTCAGGAGAGACCTTTGGCAGTCCCCACTGTACACCCAGCCTGCCCAGCCGGCGCTGACAGCCAGGGCAGCGGAGTGACCCTGCTTCCGTCCCGCCGGGCCCCTGCCGTGACCCCTGGGACCTGCGGGCTTCACTGGGGCCCCGCTCTGCCCCAGGCCGCACCCAGGACGCGACCCCCCAAGCGCTGAAGGCGTTTCAGAACTTCTACCCGACGGTGGGGCTCCAGGACGCCATGGCGGTCAGGCTGCCACGATCAGGTGCCTGCTCACCCGAGGTCCCGCCCCGCCCCACCACAACGGCCCGCCCACCCGGGGCAGCCCACCCGGCCCACCCTTGCCTTCCCTGAACTCTGGCGTGGCCGCCCCTCCTGCCCTCCTGACCTGCAGTGCAGGAGCGGAGGTCTCTGGGCAGGAAGAGGGGACAGTCTTCTCCAGCCTGTCTCAGGGACATCTCCTCCCACAGATGCATGCTCCCTGGGGCAGGGGGGCACCCAGGCACCCCTGGAGTCCAGCCCTGGCCCTACCCAGGTGGGGGGCATGGTGAGTTCTCCCGGTTCTGCCTGGGCTGCCCTGGCCCCTCTCTGCTCCCTGTCCCCTCTGAGATGTGCTGTATAGATCCCATCCCCAGGCTGTCTGGAGAGTGCCTGGCCTCAGGCCTCACCATAGACACAGCCTGTCCCAGGAAGCCCTCTCTGATTCCCAGCACTAGCAACTCACACTCGGCCTGAACAGCACACAGGGGTTCTCTCCCAGCCCTGCGGGCCAAGAGCCCAAAGTCTAGGAACCTGCAGGATTGATCTAGGGTTCTGCGAACGCCTGCCTGGCCTCTCCTTCTACCCATGGCTCCTTGTCCCACGCAGTGTCCCTGCAGTGTCAGCCTCTGTGTCACCTGGCCTCTGCCTGCTGCAGTCTGGACCCCAAGTCCCCTGTCCTTATAAGGTCACCTGTCATTGGGTGTAGGTCCATCCCAAGTCCAGGACAATCCTGTCTCAAGATCCCTCACCAACCACATCTACAAAGACCCCATTTCCAGACGAGGTCCTGTTCAGAGGTTCTGGATCTGTGAAGTTTAGGGGGCACTGTTCAACCCACACACCCCATCTCCACTCCAGGCTCACTCTCCAGGGCCCCATCAGGGTGCAACTACCACCTCATTGCCGTCCTGTCACAGGGCCAGGTCCTGGGAGCCCTGGGGGCACCGATGCAGTCAGATCTTGGGGATCAGACCCCAGAAAGCCCAATGACCAAGAATGTGGGCACCAGAATAGGCCATGAGTCATGGATAGCCCTGAGAGTGACCAGCGCCTGCGGTCTCTGCAGCTGGGCCCAGCCTGGCAGGGAGCAGGGTGGGCGTCCCTTCAGATCTGTGGGCTTTGTCCTCGTCTTGGTGACTTCTGAGCTGAGCTCTGCTCTGGCCTCCCTTCTTCTGGGCTGTTTACTTCGGTAGTAGGGACACTGGGGTGGAACAAGCCCAGGAGCGGTTACTTCTCTTGCCATCATGAGATGGCTTTGGGAGCACTTGGAGGGGCATGGATCATATCACATCACCCTGGGGCAGGCATATTTGTCATGTTGGCCGTTTCACCCAAAGTGGCAGAGCCCTGGGATGACGCCCACAGCCACAGCATGGGTGTCCACATCTGCAGAGGTCTTGGGGGGGGCAGCGCTGCCTTTGGAGGGCAGCAGGTAGACACAGTCACTGTGCCCCTCCATGCAGGCGGACTCTGAAGCAGCAAACCTCACAACCTCAGGAGCTCAGTGAGACCTGCGGCCCTCGGGGCCCACCTTGGGTCACCCCTCATCCTCCTGTCTCCCTCACCCCCACCAATAAACAGATTCTGCAGCCTCACAGCTTCCCACCTCTTTGGGGGTGCCCTGGGGAGGGTGCAGTGGCCCCTGCCTTGAGCCCAGCCCTCCTGGGAAGACTGAGGCTGGGGGAGGTGGGAGGGGACCTGGCTCCTTGGGGTCTCCTGGAGAGAGAGAGCAGGCAGCTGTGGTCAGGCTCACAGTGCCTGCAGGGAAGCTGAGGTGCCCTAAGGAGGTGGCCCTGGGCGCTAGGGCTCTGCTGGTCACACTCAGGCTGGAGGCTGCCAGTGCACTGTGTATGGGTTCTGCCCCCGCCACCTCTGGGATCTGGGAACATGGTTTAAGCCCCTGGGAGTCATGGGAAAGGGCCAGAATTGAGCCCAGTGCACACCCCGGCCTTGCCCCGCTGGCCAGTTGTGTGTTCCATGATGGAGCCCTGGATGCCATCCCATCCTACTCCTCAGAGGAGGACAAAGAGGCAGAGGAAGTCTGTACCACTGGTTTGAAGTCACACAGCCAATTCAAGCCCAGCGATCGGCTCTAGGGTGGGGGTTTACGATGTCCCAGTGCTCGAGATGTGGGTGCAGGGAGGTCCCTCCTGGGTGCCCATCGCCATGGTCCTCACCCTGAAGCTGTGCCCTGGTTCACCGGATGGTTCCAGCACCCATGCTTCAGAGGGCCAGGCGTGGGGAACAGGAAGCTGCTGGGGGTTCTGGTCCACTGCTGCTCAGTGCCCGTGCCCTCCCAGGACAGGAGCGGAAGCAGTCAGATGCCCTGGCCCTCCGGCAGCCAGCTACCCCCATGCCCTCCCTCTCCTGCCTGACCTCATCCGTCCCCACAGCCTGTCCTGCTCCCCTTCCCAGCCCCCTTGTCTCCTGTGTGACAGCCAGCTATGGCTGTCCTGTCCTGGTGTGTCCCCTTGCCTGACAGCCTGTTTGGTACACACAGCGGCCAAGTTGCCTGCCCTGGAGCCAACCAGGCCTGAGGTGGGAAGCCTGTCCTCCAGGACCAGGCCCTGCACCCCCTCTGCTACGGGAGGCCAGGAAGCTGGAGCCCTGGACCCAGAATGACCACGGTCCTCTGTGGCGCCAGCACCAGAGCCTGTCCCTCCCGAGACAGGGATCCACAGTCATGCTTGACCTCTCTTTCTCTTTATTAAGGTGGAAGTAGGAATGGAAGGGAAGGAGGGGAGTTTTCTTTATTTTTTTAAAGCTTATTTCTACAGATAAAGCTGTTTTTGAAAATAAAAATAGTGGGCCTTAAAAAGAAAAATCTGTGGCCCGTGAGATGGTCGTAGCAAAAGTGAGCTTGCTGGACATGGTGTGGGGGGATCAAAGGACAGCATGGAGCTGGTCCTGGGAGTGCAGGGGCCAAGGAGATGGGGTCCGGTAGGACCTGTCGCCATCCTGAAATTCATCATCGTTACAGATGGGGAAACTGAGGCAGAACAGCTTGCCTGGGTCACACTGCTGCCCTGCTGGTGCCCGAACGCTTCAGTCCCTTCTGTCCTGAGGGTCTGTCCTGCCTCCCCAAGAAGGGACAGAGCAGGGAGCAGGGCATGGGCTCCCCCTGCATTTCCATCTTTGCTGCTCCTTGAATCACAAATCTGGTCCTGGGGTCAGCAGAAAACATGGTTGTGTTGTTTGCAGGGGACTTGGGGAGCCCATTGGGAGGAGGCTGGAAGCTTGAGGTCAAGCTGGGGGTTGTGGCCAGGTGCTCACCGGTTGCAGGAGGCCGCAGGTCAAGGCTAAGCACTGACCTTCATGGTGGCCCCTGATGGGCACGGAAGAGCCACGGCCTATGTCCCGTGTGTGTGTGTGTGTGTGTGTGTGTGTGTGTGTGTGTGTGTGTGTGTGGAGTCTCCTGTCCCCAGGGCCCTGATGGCTACATGGCAGTGTCACCTCTGTCCTCACACTGTAGCTCTGCTGACTTCCGGAACGTGGGTGTCACCGGCCAGGTGGCCCTGGTGTGGAAACACCAGGCCTCTCAGGGCAGGCAGCAGCCGGGTGGCCCGGTGACACCCTCACTCTCCGGGTGGCTGCACACGCTATCCCACTCTCCAATATAACGCAGTGCTGTGGGGGCAGAGGCAGGAGCCGCACGATGGAGGTCAGGCTGCTGAGCGCCATCCTGGGCATCATCGCAGTGCTGCCAGCCGGGTGGGCCCTGGAGGACCTTGACCAGCGCAAGGTGCTGTTTGCTCATGGCAGGGGCTCATGCTGGTGTGGTGGGGTCCTGGCAGGGAGGGCACAGGGAGTGTCCGGCCATAGCATGTCCCTCTCCCTTTCCCTCCAAACCCTGGCTGGCTACTCGGGGCCTAGGGCCCACCTGTCAGCCCTGCCAGGCCAGCACCTCGGGAGCCCAGGGGCTCCAAGGTCTCCATGCCTCTGTGTCTATAGCCAGGCCCCTTAGTCTGCAAAGTTTCTCAGGGCTGGGGTCCCACAGGGTCCATTCCTGCTCCCTGGATGGGTGGGCCCCGGAGATGCTTCTTGTCCAGTGCTCCTTCTTCCTGTCAGTGCCGCCAGTGGGCCAAGTGCTCTTCGGCAGCTCTGAGGGCACAGATCTGGGGAGCAGACTCCAGAGGTTTCTGCCAAAGCCCTGGGCTCAGGCAGGTACTGATGTGGGGGGCAGCCTGGAGAGGTTGGCAGAGCAGGGCCACTGGGGCAGGCTCGGGCTCTGGCACCCAGCTACCCGCTGGGTGGTTCTCTCATTCTGCTCTCTATTGGGCCCTCTTTGCCCTGCCCGGAAGCAGCAGAGTTTGGCTCCTGGGGCACAGGACAGGGAGGGCGCTGCTGTCCCACTGCCTGAAGGGATCCCTTGGGAGGATGACACTGGCGGCAGAAGTAGCTTCTGAGACTCTTTTTTTGAGTCAGGGTCTCATTGTGTGGCCCAGGCTGGCACTGAACTCGAAGTAATCCTCCTGCCTCAGTCTCCTGAGTGCTGGGATTACAGGCGTGCACCACTGAGCCCGGCAATTTCCAGGACACCTTGCTGCCTTGTTGCCAAGCCTGCGGCCATCTTCTGCCCTCTTGAAGCCCACCAGCTCCCTGCCCAGGGGCCCCTGCAGTGCCCCCGGGGCCCAGGACAGGGCCCCAACTGGCTGCTTCAAGCTTCGGGCAGCTCCAGCTCTCTGCCTAGATCGGCGGATTCTGGCGGGAAGTCGGCGTGGCCTCAGAGAAGAACCTGGCGCTGAAGACCCCGAGGAGGGCAGAGGGGGTGTTTCTCACTGTGAGCGGGAGCAACCTGACTGTGAAGGTGGTGTTTAACAAGTGAGAGGCCTGGGCCCTGCTGTGGGCTCGGCACCAGGTGTCCCCCGCCTGTACCTACCCGCCTGGGACCCCCAGTCTGCATTTTCTTCCAAACACAAGCCCGGGGTTTGCTGAAGCCCTGTGAATGTGGGAGAGAGAAACAAGGGACGGCTCTGCCTCTTTGGCCTTGCCCTCTGCTCCCAGGAGTCCAAGGCCGCTGGCCTCACTGGGAGTGGTGGGGGCCTGCCCAGCAGGTGGGACGCAGGCCGGCAGGTTCCTAACGGGCACGGCACTGCCTTTCAGCTCCGGAAGCTGCGAGACAGAAACCACAGTGGGCTCAGACAGAGGCACCTCAGGGTTTGCTTTTCCTGGTAAGTGCAGTTCCCGGTGGCTGCAGCCCTGTCCTCCGTTGCTGTGCCCTGTGGCCAGGCCCCCAGGCCCCCACACCAGCATCATCCTTCGAGGCTGCTCTCAGGCCCCGGGACAGGGGAGGGTGGCCTCTGGTTATCCCCTACCTGGGGTGCGGGTCTGCACAAGCCCCCACCTGCCCCCCGGCTCCTAAGGCCACAGGGAGATGCATGTGCTGGACACGGACTACACGCGCTACGCCATCCTGCGGCTGTCCTTGCTGTGGCGGGGCCAGGACTTCCACGTGCTCAAGTACTTCAGTAAGCTCCGCAGGGTGGGGGCTCTGCCCTGCACCGCCCGGGACCACCCAGCAGCTTTCTGTGCCTGCAGCTCGGAGTCTGGAGGATGAGGATGAGCTGGGCTTCAGGAAGTTCCGGGAGTTGACAGCGGACACCGGCCTCTACCTGGTGGCCCGGCATGGTGGGTGCAGGCACTCGGGGAGGCGGCTGGTCTGGGCCCCTGCTGGGTGTGGCGCCCTTCTGCCCGCCCCTCACGCTGGCCTGTCTGCAGGGAGGTGCGCGGAGCTTTTGAAGGAGGTGAGCAGTGTCCTCAGCTGCAGCCCCCGGCCCACCCAGCCCTGATGGTCCCCAGGGCTCCAGACTCTGCCCTGGGTGGGAGGGCTGTCCCTGTCCCCACGTGGGGCTGCCAGCGGCTCTGCCCTCCAGGTCCTGCTGGGGTGGGGTCTTGGGGCTGTGTTCACAGTCTCAGGCTCCCCATGCCCAGCACCATGCTGACACATCATGGGCACGACCTCCCCCAGCCCCACAGATTGGCACTGTTACCCCACTTTGCAGGGGCTGGGTGCTTCTCCAAAACCAGGCAGCTAGGATCCTAGGCCCCTAACTGTGGCCCTTACCCCTGTCCCTGTGCCCTGAGGCCACCCCTGCCCTCAGCGCCGCCCTTCTGTGTGCAGGGGCTGATTTAGAGCAGCTCTTGCCCAGGCCCCAGCTGGACCTGCCTGCCTGGCTCTCCTGCCCTGCCCACAATAAAGCCTGCTGACCACCACCTCTGTGCCCACGTGTCCTTCCTGGGGGCGGGGCTGAGGGTGGTAGGTAGGGTGGCAGGGGGACCTGTCTGCCCAGGTGGACACAGCAGTGTGTTGTCTCGGATGGTGGCCCTGGGCGCCTGTCCCCAGGAACCCTGGGCCCTGCTCCTTTCAGGGCTGTGGCCCCTGCATCATCCTCACTCCAGGCAGCAGTGGTGGTGCAGCTCAAGCGGGGCAGACATGGAGCCTAGCACAGCTGCTGGGCCCTGTGCTGCCCTCTCCTGCCCACAGCCCCAGAGCACCCCACGCCTACTGGAGAGATGGGCAAGCGAGGCTGGGGGGACGCTTGCCCTGAGTGATGGCGAGGCCCACGCCTGGGCCCACGCTGTGTCTGGAGATGGCCCAGCGTGATGGTGGCAGAGACTGGCTGGCTGTAGAGGTGGAAGCGCCTGGAAGGCCCCGTGTGGCCCTGTGTCTTCGTCCCCCTGCTCTCTTGGTGTGTGGCCCCTCGCAGGGCCTGTGACAGGGAACCGTCTACCCCCCCCCCCGTGCCTTTGAATGCCACACACAAAGTGCAGCCCTCAGATGACCTTGCTGAGAGGACACCGCACTCTGTGAGGCCAGGGTGGAGTGGGCCTGCATCCTTGCTGCTGCACTGCCGCCAGGCTGGGCAGCCGGTACTGGGCCTGGTCAGCCATGGAGCCTGGCCTGGGGCTGCTGAGCCCAGCTTGCCCTGCCCCCTGGGCCCCAGTCACCCACCACCTCCCCTGGTTCCCAGTCAGTCACCTCTGCTGGTCCCTATCAGGTTAATAATGTCCCTTAGTTATTGTGGACTGATCAGGTCTGCAATCTCCCGAATGAGTATATGGCGAAGGCTAAATAAAAAGGCGAATGGAATGATTTCAGGGCTCCAGGAGGATCACAGCCTCTCACAGAATTCGAGATTCTCTCAGGCTAAGACCAAACCTTCTCTGGTGGCTGCTTATTTTGTTATTAGAAGAAGAGAGGGGAGTACTCAAGAAGGGCAGACTCACTCAAGGACTTCTCCAAGTAAGGAATTAAATTAGTCCTTAATAAAGATTAAGTTAACCCACCAAGGAGTGAGGCCTGAGGCTATAGTCTTTATCTAGTTGAGATCAGATCCAGGTGTCCTTGGCTGTGATCTTGTTTTATCTTCTGAGGCTTTCCGGCTTCATTCGCCTTTACAGGTTTTATTAGGGATTAGTGACTCACAGAGGTTCACTTTCTATGAGTCTGTTGCCCACTTCCGGACAAGCAGCCCAGGCTTTGGACAGATTCACAAGTAAACATAAAAAGCCAATTGGAAGGTGGGAGTGGTGGTGCACGCCTGTAATTCCAGCACTCAGGAGGTTGAGGCAGGAGGACAGTTGTGAGTTTGAGACCAGCCTGGGCTACAGGGTGAGCTCAAGGCCAGCCTGGTCTCAAAAGATGAAAAAAAAAAAAAAGCAATTGGTTAATTTAAGTCCAGCTCAGGTCTGCTTCACAGTGGTCTCCATCAGGTCCCTTCCTGTCCCTGTCTCTCCCCGTCTCTCCCCCTCCCCTATCTTCCTGTCCCTGTCTCCCTCTTCCTGTCTCTGTCTTCATATCTCTTCTCTCCTGTCTCTCTTTCCCTCTCCCTCATCTCTCTGTCTCTGTCTCTTCCTGTTTTTGTCTCTTTCCCACCTCTTCCCACCGCACTCCCCATGGGGTGCTGGCAAGTCTCCCTCTCTTGGTCTGTGCCCGGCGAGGTCAGGGCCTGGCCTGTCACCTGGGGGCTGGGGTCAGGCATGCTGCCCCTTTGCTGCATGGATGGCAGGTGTTCTATGCCTCAAAGCTAGTGCTCCACCTTGGCTGGAGGTGGCCGGCCTGGCCCTGTGGTGAGGGGCGAGATGCCAGGAGGTGGGCAGGTAGGCAGGAGCCCTTGCCCTCGACTGACCGAGCAGTTCTTCAAAGCACTGGGGAGGGCACCATGGGGTCAGTTCTGATGCCCGGCCCACTCCGGCTCCTTTGCTGCTCTCAGACGCAAAGGGCTGAGCAGCCATGTGTGGCACCATGTCCTCAGCTGGCCCCCGCTGCCCTGGGGCCCTGGTTCCCGGGCTGCCCGCAAGGTTAGCCAGTGTGTGCCCAGCAGCCCCCAGGCGCTCTGTGTCCATGTCCTGGGCCTGCAGGGGTTTTACTTGGTTCTCAGTCACCCTGCTCAGTGACATGCGTGGGCAGAACTGCTGGGTGAAGACCATGCAGAGGTGGGCAAGCTGCCCAGCTGGTCCATCTTGTGCTGCCAGCTGCTTCAGGACAGCCAGCCTGTGCCCCACATGTGCCCACAACAGGATATAAAGTCAGAGCCTGCCGCCCAGCCCGGGGCCTGTGTGCTTTGCCCAGCTGATCTGGTGGCTACTGCTGGCTCATGGAGGGCAGCATGATCCTGGCCCTGCTGGTGCTATGCACAGGGCTGGCAGCTGGCTCAGAGGAGCATGCGATAAAGGACTTTGACTTCTCTAAGGTGGCCATGCGTCTTGGGGCCGATCTTGTGCTGCCCTGTGGGGTTGGCCCTGCACGGGTGCCTTTTGTCCCTGGCTCATCCCTCACTATTGGAGCCCTGGAAGGGAGGTGATCAGGGACCCCAACCCTGGAGGCTGGGGCGCCCTAGCAGCTCCCTCCCTCTCCTGTGCCCAGTTTGCAGGCTTGTGGTATGAGATCTGCTTCGCCATGAAGGCAGGGGCCCCTGCCAAGGACCCCGAGGCGGAGAAGATAGGGGGAGTGGTGCTCCAGCTGGAGAACGGTTCCCTGATCCTGACTGCCGCCCATTAGTGAGCTGGGGCTGGGCCGGCGGGCGGGGGAAGTGGGGTGGCTGGTAGGTGTCTGCTGCCCTGGGTCCTTCGTCCCACGTCTGTGCCTCAGTGAGTGGGGTGAGCGTGAAAGCCTCCCAGGGAGGCCCCGGAGCGGGACTCAGCCTGGTTCTCTGGGTGCCCCTTGTTGTCTGGGGGTCCTGCCTGGCCCAATGCTGGCAAAGCCTCCCATCTGGGTGTCTCTGCCTGCTGCACGCTCTCTGGGGGCAGAGCCCAGGGCCTGGGGCGCGGGGGCAGCTGCCCAATGGCGTCTCCTGCTCTTCTAGTGAGGACCACTGCGTGGTGGAGAAGACCACAGCCACAAAGAAGGTCGTTCCAGGGACATTCACCATCATCAGGGAGGGTGGTAAAGGTGCTGTCCCCAGGCCGCGTGTGCTTGTGTGTGTATGTATATTGGTGGCACATACTTGTGTGTTTGGTGTGTGAAGGTGTGTGTCTGCATATGAGTTGTGCATGTGCTTGTGTTTTGGTGTTGGTGCGTGCGTGTGTGCGTGTATGAGTGCCTGCTGTGAGTATGGAACTTAGAATCCCATGGTGTTTGGTGTTTGGCTCAACCCCCAGGAAACAAAGAGGTCCAGGTCCTGAGCACTGACTACAAGACCTACGCTGTCATGGACATCCATTTCATGATGGACAACGTCAGCCATCAAGTCATGAAACTTTACAGTGAGCCCAGGCTGGACTCTCCTGGGGGTCCCAAGCCCTGCTGCGGGCCCTTGGGCTTTGAGAGGCAGGGGAGTGCCTGGGGGATGTGTGAATGGGCCCCCTGTGGCTGTTCCAGAGGCCCAGACCTGACTCTCACCCACAGGCCGGAGTTTGGACCACAATGAGAAGGCCCTGGAGAAGTTTCATGAAGTGGCCCAGGAGCATGGGTTCAAGGAGCCGGACTTCCATCTGCTCAAGAATGACAGTGAGTGGCCCTCACCGGGGGCTGGGACCTCCCAGGGACGGGGAGAGCCTGGGGCCTGCCCTCCCCTGCCTGCATGTCACCACTCTGCTTTTGTCTCCAGCTGCCTGTGTGACGGCGCTGCAGGTGAGTCCCCAGTTCCTGAGTCCGGGGTGTATGGGGGCCCTGGGTATGGAGCTCTGTCCACTCCATCCTTCCCATCAGATAGAAATGAGCTAAGCCCAGGAGGGCCTAGGATCTGCCAGGCAGCTGGACAGGGTGTTCAGCCACACTCCTTGGAGCAGGCAGATCCAAGCTCAGAACCAGGTAGCTCTGAGACCCTTAAGTCAAGAGGGTTCTGGTGTTCCCCCTGGGCCAGCTGCTCCTCTAGCCATAGCAGCTGGGCTGGGGCCCTGCTGGATGTGACGCCCTCCCGCCCACCCCTCATGCTGCCCTGTCCGCAGGGAGCTGCACTGAGCTTCTGAAGGAGGTGAGCGTCGTTCTCTGCCCGCAGCCCCTGCCCTGTGCAGCCCTGACAGTCCCCAGGGCTCCAGACCCTGCCCCCCTGATCAGAAAGCCCCCTGGCACTGAGGGTCGCTCCAGAGGTGCATCTCTTTCGTGCTTGGGAAAGAGCCAGAGCCTGCACCGCGGTGACTCAGGCTGCCAGGAGGGGCCCTGGGGACCGCTGGAGGGGAGAATGAAGGAAGGGAGGCCATGCAGAGCCCTGAGCACTGCCCTTCTGTGTGCAGGGGCCGGTGTAGAGCAGCTCCTGCCCAGGACTCACCTCTCCTGCCCTGCCCAGAGGCCGTCTACCCCTGCCCCCAATAAAACCCACTGCCACACTTTTGCCCCCAGTGTCCTTCCTGGGGGTGGGTGAGGGCGGCAGGTGGGTGTCTGGGACCTGTCTGTCCCAGGTGGAGATAGCAGCTGTGATTATCTGTGAAAGATGTGTTTGCCTGCGGAGCAGCAGCCCTGGCTCCTGTCCCCAGCGCCTCCACCAAGCCCTGCTCTGTTTGGTCTGCGGGTCCCCAGCGTTGCTCTCACTCTGGGCAGCCTCTGACCTGTGCCCAGGAGCCTGGGAAGCCCCAAGCTAGGCTCACATGAACGGAGACAAGACCAGGCTCCTTGGCAGTCTCCACGGCCTTGCAAATGAACAGGGCCACCCTACTCCTCCAGGTTCTCCCACAACTCGCTGCGGCCCAGGGCCAGACCCACAGCGCATGTCCAAGGCCTCCACCAGGCCCCTCCTGCCCAGTCCACCCCTTCTGCCTGCCCTGATGCAGGGTCTGGGCCCCGTCACACCCTCTCACCCCTTAACTTGGCACCATCTCCCTCTGGTTGCTCAGTTTTCGTCTGCCAGTCGGTGCTGAGTCTGGAGAGCAGCAGGCAGGGGCTGTGGGGTGAGCTTGGTCCAGGCCTCAGCTTGTTTCCTCACGTGCAGAGACAGCTGCCTCTCGAGGGAAGTAGGAGGGAGGTGCTCAGGGTTGAGCCGTACCCAGCAGTGGGGTCCAGCCCTGCAGAACAGAGAGACCCTGCTGATCCCCGGGACCCACTAGGACCCCCGAAAGCCCCTGCCAGGAGCAAGGCCACAGCCCAGGCTCACCTTCAGTCTGCGGCTGTGTGCCACAGGGTCCCCAGGGACAGACGCTCAGGGGCCCAGTTCTGCCCTGTTGGGGTCTTGGGGAGCAACGTGAGCTTCCTGGGGTCATCGCAACAGTGCTTACTCCCACTCAAGCTCAAAGGGCTCAGCCTATGACTGGATTCCTGCTCTGCCTGCCAGAACAGAGCACCACAGACTGGGCCTTCACAGAGATTTGTGCCTGCACCGTTCTGCAGGCTTGGGTCTGAGACCAACGTGCCTGAAATTCAGTTCTAGTGAGGGGTCTGCTTACCGTCTGCACACAGAGTCAGGGAGGGATGGTGCTGAGAGAGCTCTGCGGGCTCTCTTGTCCGCCCTACCAGAACACAACCCTAAGGCCTCTGACTTTACCAACTGCCGTCACCTCCCGAGGGTCATCTTCCTAAGTACACTGATGTCAGGGGTTAGGACTTGGACAACATGAACCTGAGAGGCCAGTGCGGAGGACTTGTGGTTCATTCTTTCCAAGTTCCATCATCTCCTTGCTTCACACAATATCCCAAACTTGATGCAAAACATCAACTTAGAGACCCCAGAAGGTCACAGAAATGCAGTGGGGTAAACAAAGGGAAAATCCAGTAAAACCACACCCGAGGACATCACAGTCAACATACTGCAAGCCGATGACTTGGGGGCAACTCTGAGAGCTCTGTGGGTTGGACACACATTGCAATGAGGTGCAAGCGGCTGACTGCTCGTGCACTACAGTTTTGGACACATTGCCCTGATTCCTGGAGCACATTTCGTTCGGGCACAGAAATGATCCCAAGCTCTTCTGTGATAGAAGAATTTCTTCAGGTGGTTCCTCCTCACACGGAACGGTATCAAGAGACCAAACCAGGTGTGGTGGGCATCCCCTTTGTTAGCGTGTGGTCCCCTCTAGGCCTTTTCAGCCACATGGCCCGGTCCACTTCCTTCTGTTCTTCCTTCCTCCTTTCCCATCAGTACCAGAACTGGAGTTCATGTGCACACCTCTGATTTCAGTCCACTTCATTTCTTCTTTCCAGACTTCTGGTTTGTAGCCTGTTTTGCTACACTGAGACACTCATGCGCCTAAGCTTCCCCTATGGCCATCCCCAGCATGTACCCAGCAGGCCCAGGACTGCTCCCCAGGGCAATGGCACCCACCTGCCAGCTGCAGTCCTGAGCTTGCTTCAGTCCCTTTAGTCTCCCTGAGGATGCTGAGAAAAGTCCGGCTAGAAAGTTACTCAGGGTGGCTCTGTCTCCTTTACTGGGCTATGCTGTTTATTTGTATGATGATTGCAGTTCATGCTAGGGACGCCTTTGTTTTATCTTCAGTGCTGCATCCCATATTACCGTGGAAACTTCTGTGTGCCCTCAGAGGAGACCTTCCCCTGTCCTGCCCTCTCCTTCCTGCCCCCAGGGAACTCAGCAGACTCTGCTCAGCACTGCTGTGCTTCTTTCTGCAGAAATATGCAGAAGCGAGTATGGTAGATTAACTATTAGACAACTGGTTATACCCAACTGAACTGAGTCAGCGTGGTGCTGGGTGCGGAGGGCCCATTGAGGATCACTGCCAACAACATAAAAGGAGAACTGGAGGGGCAGATGGTGCTGCAGTCCTGAGCTTGCTTCAGTCCCTTTAGTCTCCTGGAGAAGTTTGTTGTGCTAGCTTTCCTGATATGCACTCAGCTGTTCTCATCATCAGAGAAGCTCAGGACCTCATTGTCTCTGAGAATGGCTGTGGTTTTCTTCAGGGGAGCTCTGGTCCTTACCTCGAGCATAGCTTCCTGGCTCTAGTGCAGATGCCTCAGCCTCAGCCTGCTGGCACAGATCCTTCATCCTCCTGGTGTAGACTTTCTAGTTTCCACCACTGGCCTTTAGGCCTTCCCAGCACAGATCCTTGTTATAGACTTGCATGAGACATTGTTGTGGGCTCTAGGCCTCCAGCTGGACTCCTGCAGGACATTGCTGTGGGATCCAGCCCCTCAGCAGGATTCTTTGGTTTCTACTGTGTGAACAGATCTGCACTCTTTTGCGTTTGACTTTTTGGGTGAATATTATAAAGTAATTCTAAAGACCATGTGTCCTATGTTAAAGCAATTCCCTTGCAAGTCCTGCCTATAGCAGTGCACCTGCTCTTGTTTGGCTTTCCCTCATTCCCACTTTCCGTGCCTTGGCAACCCCCACGCCCCCCACCTCTCTGCTCCTCAGGCCACGTGTGCTGTGTCTTTCCTGGAGGTGGGGACGCTGGCACAGAGGGACGTGGCTGTGTGGCTTTGTCATGCTGCCTGGCCCCCCACAGTGACTGCTGCAGCCTGCAGCCGGCAGGCTGGGGGTGAAGTCCAGACAGCTAAAAAGCACGTGCCTCCCCCTTCTCTGGTGATGGCTGTCACAGCCCTCCCCTGCGTTCCCCCATGGCCCCCTGAGGAAGGACAGGGACAGCCAGCCTCAGTGTCCTCTTGACATTGTTCAGGTTACTTGTCACTCTCTGGGCTGCTCCAGCAGTGTCACCCATGGACCCCTCGCTGCTCCTGCTGCCCCTTCCCCCATGCTGAAGAAGTGGCTGGGACACAACCCTTGAGGTGACAGAGGTTAGGGGAGGGACAGGCCTGCTGTGAATGACCCTGACCTCCCAGGGACCAGTATGCTGTGGTGGACACAGCCAGCCCCACTGGAGAGTCAGGCTCTGGCCTGCCACTTGGGAACCCTGTGTCTGCACTGGGAGATGTCCAGACTGACTGTGGCGGCCTCCAGTTTGAACTGGGCTATAGAGTTCAACTTGGACCAATCAGTAGACTCCAATCAGGCTCAAATATAGGAGCAGGCCCTCACTCTTTCCAGAGGCTTCCTCTGGTTCAGGAGTGTTCTTGTGCCATAGCATAGGTGCTGTCTAAATAAAATCTCACTTTGGAGGTCTTGTAAATCTGCTCGTGATTTATTTCTAGGCTTAGACATCCTTGTAAATTGTGGGGAACCACTCAGACTGCTTCAAAACTCAGGGACATCTAAGGACACCTGAGGACATGACCCCACTTGTCTAGTGCGGGTGCACAGTGGGATACAGTTATGTAACCATGGACTTAGAGCAGGGAAACACATGTGTGCTCGTAAGGGCACTATGTAAGAATGAGATAACAACTGTATAAGGATTACACAGTAAAGACTCAGGTGGTTCTTGCACTCTTGTGATCTGCTCCATGTTACCTGCTTATAGAGAGCCCTTCCTGGTCCTCACTGAGGCCCAGGAAATTTATATTTGTAATCCCATGGAAAAGTTATTGGAATTCTAGTGAGTTAATTCCAATCTACCACTTCCAGTGCAACCCATGGCGAGAATAAAGACACTAAGGCATATTTGTATTTATGGGGAGCCAAGGGGTCCTAAGTCCAGCCATGATGATAGCTATCCAAAGGCCTCCACCTAGGGCCAAACCCGGATTTTGTTAATTCATGAAGAAAGGAATGGTTTGAAGATGAGTGACTGTGAGAATCTTGGGAAGTAGGTGAGTGCTGTGAGCTGGGCTAGGTAGGAGGCCCAAAATCACCTCTGCCAATGCAGAGAGAAGGATATGCAGAAAGAGTAATCTGCATGACACAATTGAGGTAGTGCCTAGTGTTTGGGGGTCGGTGTTTCAGCTCTGACATGTAATCTTTCAAGCCCCAGGAGGTCACAGCCTCTATCTCGAGGCTGATCCTAGACGACAGTGTGGAGCATTGGCTCACACATCCAGCCTCATCTCAGTTCACACAGGGGAACAAGTGGGGGTGGGGTGGGGGTCCAGGGAAACACGCCTGCCATCTTCAAAGACTACCATTAGCATCTTGGCTGGACCTACGTGCATTGCTTAAAGCCAAGTGAAAGGATAGGGAAAAATCCTAGCCCACTCTACACACATCAATATCTGGAAATAGGGTCAGGTTCAGCCAAAGTGGAGACAATTGCTCCTCCTTCAAGAAGTCGCCCAGGTGGGCCTCCACACCTGCTGTTGTTCCTGGCTTCTTGGACATGTGCGTTCTTTCACCTTGGGACCTAACCTATGAAAATCTCCCTTGAGTCCTCCACGTGGGCCGACATAAATTTACTGGGATTCGTGGTCTCTTTGAAAAGGAGCTGTAAACACGTGGGGCCGCTTGCCCTGAGAGCTGCACAGACCCGCAGCTGATAAAGCCCGGGGCTGGTAGCAGAGCTGCACGTGCTGGTCTGTGATTTCTGTCCCAGAGGAGCAACAGAATCCTCCGCTAAGTGGCAACAGAGCGCTTTGCTTTTGGCAGTGTGATGAATGCTGAAGGCTCTCAGCATGGTGCTAATTTGAACTTCTGACCTGGGAATGAGAAGGGTCACTACGGGTTTCCTCGGCTGCTGTGACAAAGTACGACAGCCTGGGCAGCTGTCTGTGTAGTCTTTTAAAAAACCATCCAATACGTCACTGGGTTTCCTGATCAGGAGCTGGCATCTGCTTCCTGGAACAGTCCCACCTGTTCTTCCGTTGTGGGGCTGGGTTTCTTAGCTAATATCCCGAGAACTACTTTTGTCCTGCTGTTCACATATGAAGTTGTCAGAAGCAGGATTCTGGGCTGTCTTCATGAGGGTCAGACGTCAGTACTGTGCCAGGGATTCAGTCACCACTCTTCCTCTCTTTCTGACCTGGACTGTTTTTGTGCCACTGAGATTCTCTGGCCTGGGAAATCTGGTAGCACTGACATCAGCTCAGCAGGGGGTGTTTTATGGGGTGCTTCCATGGTGATTTCCCTCGTTTGTTTCATGTAGAAATTGGTCTGTTTAAGCTTTCTCTGCTAACTAGTCCACTTTGGTAAACTAAATTTTTCTGTAAATGTATCCGTTTCATTTATGGCTTCAAAGTTATTTGCTTAGAGGTCCCCAAAGTACTTTCTACTAATTATTTTTTTTTTCCTTTCTGTCCCAAGTAATTTTCCTTTTGATATTTCTTTATATGTTTATGTTTTCTCCATTTTTCTTACTTAAATTAGTGAGAGATTTGGTGGTTCTATTAGTTTTTCAAAAGGTAAGGATTGGATTCATTAATTATACCTCCTATTTCCAATTCTCTATGATTTTCAGTTTTTAGCACTGCTTTCTCTATTCTTGTGATTTCTTTTTGATACCCTGTTGTTTCTTTTTTACTTCTGGGGTGAAGTTTTAGCATGAGTATTCGAATTCTTTCATATTTAATGGTATAAATGTTAAAAGTATGACTTTCCCTGTGGTCACTGCTTTACTGGTGTTATGTTTATTTAACAAAACCCTGTAATTTCTGTTTGTATTTTTTAATCCTAGGTTATTTTTTAAGCAGCTGGTGTTATGATTAGGATTTTGAGTGACACGGAAGGCTTGTGTGTCAAAGGCTTGGTCCTGGCATGCTCTCTTGGGGTACTGTTACAGTTTTCCTCTTCCTCCTCCTCCTCCTCCTCCTTCTTCTTGTTTCTTCTCCTTTTTGGAGTGGGTCCATTTTTATCAGCCAAACTGTTTTAAATTCTTACTCTGTTTCTTTCTGTAGAAGCTAAGGAAAGATAAAGGTGACTTTATTTACTATACGGACAAGGTTGGCAGCTTACGGTTTATGGTTCTTGATTTATATGTGTCCATTATTGTGAGGGTATAAACTTTCTTTTTCTTTCTTATTGGACCTGGGGTCTTCATGCTGAACTACAACCCCAGCCTTATTTATTTATTTGTTTGTTTATTTACTTTTGAGATAGGTTCTTGTCAAGTTGCTAAATTGCTCAGGGTGGCCTTAAACTTGTGATACTCCTGCCTCATCCTTCCAGAGTGTTGAAATTTTAGGCAGGCACCGCTGTGTTTGGCTGTAAATTTTCTTTAATGGGTGGCATTTTTTGGAGTGGTATGGTCTGTCTGCTTTGCTGGGGGAGATCTTTCTTATCTGTTCCTATTAGGGCATTAACCCTGCCATGGGACCCCACCCACACATTCTCCTTGAGTCCAACTGCCTGTAACACCTTGCTGCTAGGATGAGGGTTTCAGTTTGAATTCTGGGGGTGCAAGCTCTGGTCCATGGCAGTGGAGGTCGTGGTGCAGCCACTTGCCTGGATGGTCTCTGTTGGTCTGTCTGTCCCTGGTTCCCTTGGCTGGACACCAGAAACAGTGTGTGTCCCTGGCCAGGCAGCCGCCCCCTCAGGGCTAGACTGTCCACTCCCTGCCCCTCTGTGCTGGAGAGGACATCCCAAGACCAGCATGTGGTCAGCACAGGGATAGGTAGGGGCTTGGAGGGCAGGAAGCCACAGTCCTGTCCAGAAGCTGGTGTGTCCCCTCTTCCCACACACACACAGTCTGTGCTCTCCCCGCCCGGGTGGAAGCAGAGAGCATCCACAGTATGGTCAGGGGGTGGACTGCAGAAACATGGTTGTTGTGAGGAGCCGTGGGCACAGAGAGATGGCAGGGGCCGGGGGTCATGGCCACCAAGGGTGGAGCTTGTCCTGCCCTCCCTTCTGGCTTCCTCAGGAGGAGCCCAAGGCCCTGCAGGCCCATTCTTGGAGGTGCCGTGGCGCCTCACTGAGGGGCGCTGAGGGTGGGGGTGCACAGGAAGGGTACAGTGAGCAGCCACTGCACTGGCCAGGATGGTGACAGCCCAGGGCCCGAGACCCAGGGAAGCAGGTCCTGCCTGCTAGTGGGTTCTTTAAGAGGATGCCATGCAGGGGAAGGCAGGGGCTTCAGCCAGGGGACAGGAGCAGCAGGGCTGCTCACGGGACTACCACAGGGACAGAGCCCTGAGCAGAACAGGGGGTGGGAGCTGCTTTAGAACTAAGACCTGGAGAGACTGGAGCCAGCCAGAAAGACAGAGGTCAGACCTGCAGCTGGTAGCAGCCAGCCCAGGGACCACAGGCTGGCCGTGGCGGTCACCCGCTACCCATGGTAGGAGGAGCTGCCATTTGCCAGACTGTGGGATCCCCATGCTGTCTCTAGGGATGGTCCAGGAGGCCACTGAGCGCCCAGGGACACCCGGTCTGAGCGGCCAGGCCGAGCAGTGACTGTCAGCTCCTGATGTTTGTGGCTGCTCTGACTTAGGGCCCCGGAGGGAGCTGAACTTGCTCTCTGACCGATTGTGTTGGGGGGCAGTGCCTGGCTCCAGCACCTCCTCTTCCCTACAGGGATGGCCCCTGCCCTACTTGGGGTCTCTGCTCTGTGCAGGGAATGTGGCAATGCTCCCTGGCAGCTTGGACTTGGTAGCCAGGCTTTCCCCACCTGGGTTCTGTGTCCCCACACCAGGGCACCTAGTGCAGGGCGTGGCCACGGTGCCCTCTGGTGGCTGTGATGAGAACCAGCCTCTGCAGCCCTCCCCCTAGGCCCCAAGTGAGGTCCTCAAGTCCGAGCCCCGTTGCCCCTCCCTCAGGATCTGAGATCTGCCAGTCCCTGGGTTCTGTTCCGTTGCCCTTGGCCATGGCCCTCACAGCCTTGGCCACGGCCCGGCTTGTTGGTGACTGGTCACATGCATGGTCAGAAACAGGCTCGGAGCAGGAACAGGACGGTCTGTGAGGCGCATGGGGAGATTCATGTGGGCCGCACACCCCCAGCTTCCTTTCCTGCTCCTTGGGTCCTTACTGATGACAAAGCCAGGTGGGTGATGCAGGCTGAGGCCTTGCAGGGGTCTATAGACCCCAGCCCCCTCCCTGGGCTTCTTGGGCTCAGACCCCAGCAGGCTTCCTGACAGGGGTTCCCATGACCTGGCATCGGGAGTCCCCAGCTGCACTTGGAGCCCTGGGGGGCATAGATAGGCCAGGGCTCAGGAGAGCTGGGGCCACAGGGCCGGAACCAGCTGGAGGGTGGGCAGGTGCAATGGGGTGGAAGGAACAGGACTGTCTGTCCAGGGGACCAGCTGTGGCGTCTCGGCAGCAGAGGGCGTAGGAGTCAGATGTCAGGTAGGTGAGTGTTTAATGACTGGAGCAGATCTCAGGCCCTTCCCTCTGACCCCTGGCACAGGGCCACCATTGTACCTGGCCGCGGGCTTGGCTCTGTTTGACCCTGAAGAGCTTGCCAGGAACTTCCCACGGTGGGCCGGGGAAGCGCCCGCCTAGGAGGGGCTGCGGTGGCAGGTGCAGGATGCCCGTTCTGGGAACCTAGTTGGGAGTGCAGAGGAAAGCAGGGATGACCCCTTTGGCTACCTGGCAGGCACTCTGCTGTGGGTCGGAGCTGGGCACAGGGCCACCACTGTGTAATGAGTGCCCCTGGGCTCATTCCACTGCTTTTTTTTTTTTTTTTCCCCCCAGTACTGGGAATCGAACTCACGACTTTGCGCTTGCCAGGCAGGCTCTGTGCCGCTGAGCTAAATCCCCAGCCCCCATTCCATCGCTTTGCAAGAAGAGTGGCCAGGCCACTGTCTGGTTAGAGGCCGCCCACGTGGCGGCGGACAGAGCCATAAAAATGGTTCCTGGCTGAAGCAGGGCAGGTCCTGGCTGTGGAGCAGCACCTAGACCTCCAGCAGGATGGGGGTGGCCCAGCTGACCACTCTCCTGGCTTTGGTGTCCATGCTTAGGGCCCAGGTGGTGTGGCTGGGGAAACTGGATCCCAAGCAGGTGATTCCTCTGGCCAGCAGGGCGGACCTGGGGTGCCAGGCCCCTCCTGGGAGGCCACACAGCTCCTGGGTCCCCCATGGCGAGGCCAGACCAGCATCAGGGATAGGGGGCTGCACGAGGGCCTGGGACTCCCCAGCAGCGAGGATGCCCTGGGAGGACAGCCGGGACCTCTCTGCTACCTGCCTCCATGCAGCTGCTGGGGTCCTGGTACATCCTCGCCGTGGCCTCCAGTGAGAGGGACTTCGTGCTGGAAAAGGACACGAGGATCGTGGAGGGTGTGGTGGTGACGCTCAGCGCAGAGAACGGGCTCAAGGTGCTGTCTTCTCGGCTGGGGTGAGCAGCAGCACCCAGTCCAGCCCGGCATGCCTTCCTCAGTGACCGTGTCCACCCGTCCAGCCTGAGGACTCTACTCCTGACTACGCGCCCCCCCCACCCCTTCTCTCTGGCTCAGCCCCGCACCACGCGCTTCCACCTGCCTCTGCCCTCTGTGTCCCTCGGCACTGGGCCCGCTGCTTCCTGGTCCTCAGTTGACTGAGCCATCTATCTGTGCTGCAGCCCCTTCTCTCTGGGTCCTTTCTGAGGGACGAGCTCAAGTGGGTCCTTCGTGTGGACCCATGGGCCCTGGTTCTGTCATAGAATGAACTCCATGGGGATGAGGTCACCAAGGCTGTGTGCCACACTGGCCACATGGGCTCGGCTGGCCTTGACCAATGGGCAACGTGCAGGGCAGGCCCATGGTGGTGGTGGGGACCTTGGTCGGGGAGGTGGTGGCGTTGGCACCAGCATCCCATCCTAGGAGAGAGGACCAGGGCCTGTCACAGGCTGGGGCAGCTCAGCTGGCGTTTTCTGCCTTAGCTGCGTGGGGAGGCCATGGTCACCAACGCAGATGTGTGGTGGGAGAAGAGCACTGCCCCCCTCCCCAAGTGCCACCCTCCTCCCCAAGCATGCTAAGGAGCCAGTGCCTCCCCCTGCCCACCTGGCAGAGCCTGCCCAGGCTCCTCCCTCTGTGGTTTCTATCAGCGTGAGGCTGCAGGTTGGCAGGAGCTGGTTGAGCTCTGACCAGGCTGGAGGGATCCAGTACCCAAACTGGACACCTGATACCGCTGGAGCGCAGGGCTACAGGCAGGCAGGGCCCATGCCGGGGCTGGGACTCACAGGGCCGGTGAGGGGTGTCCTGTGGTTTGCTGCCTTGGCTTGGTTTTGTTTGTTAACCTTTAAGTAGGACGTTCATCAGCACAGCTCAGTCTTTAGGAGGGTGCAATGCAGGCATCTTTGATGTAGCTGGGGTTTTACTCCAGGGAAAAGCATGGCTAGAACTCAGGACTGCTCGATCGCCTGGACTTGTTTGTTGAGTCATCTTTCCTCGCTAACCTGACTTTCTCTCTGGGCTTTCTGCTCTGTTCCTTTTGTGTGTTTCACTTATTGTGCCTTTGAGATGTGTCCCTCTTTTCTAGATGAGCCCCCTCAGGGGCTGAGACTTGGGGTGCCTGGGCCCTAACTTCCCTTTGAGCCTTGGGGCAGCTGCTTTCCTCATGCAGACCTGGCGTCTTGGGTACAGGCAGCAGAGGGAAGCCACTGCTGCTTCTCAGGGCCCAGCTGGCTGTGTCCCCAGAGCGGGGCTTCCGGAGACCTGGGGCACTGGCGGGAGATGATTCACTTGGTGGCCTCCCTGACTGCCAGCCACTAGCAGACTCCCACGCACCTATGTCCCCTTGTGGCCCGGCGTTGAGCTGAGTGCTGGGCCTCTGCGTTCCCAGGCCGGACGGCTGCAACCAGATGGAGTTGGAGCTGCAGCAGCAGGACTCGGGATGGGTGTTCCAGAACCCCTGTGAGTATGAGGACGCAGGGGTGTCCCTAGGCAGGGCTGGCGGGGACCCTGGGGGAGCCCAGCCCTGTAGTGTCCTCCATACCTGGTCGGCAGGGCAAAGCCAGCTCTGTTCCTGAGCCCTAAGTAATAGGATCTGAATTTATTTGGTTTGGTGCCTGAAGATGAGAGAGATCCTTGGATCTTATGACCCCCAGACCAGCCCAGGTGCCCATGAGGGCTTAGCCCAGGACCCTGGCTAGTCCATGGGTGCTGAGGGCCAGAGTTGGACCAGAGGGACAGGTTAGATAACAGTGACTCCAGGACAAGCTGGGACAGGCACTTGTCTGTCTGTCTGAGGAGCTGGGGTCAGAACTCGGGGCCCCTTCTGGGGTCTGATGGGTCTCATGATCTTGCCCCTCATCCCTGTGGTTGACCCCAGTTCCTGGGCCTGGGTGGCACACAGCCCCATCCCCATCTGGGGCATCTGCTTTCCAGCTCTGGGCGTGCTGCAGTACCGGGTGCTGGGCACCAACTTCAGAGACTACGCCATTGTCTTCACGCAGCTGGAGCTCGAGGGCGAAGCCTTCAACACCGTGGAGTTGTACAGTGAGTGGGCACCGGAGGGCGCTGTCCACAGCCCTAGTTCTGGATCCACGGGCTGTTCTGTGTCACCTGAGGCTCGTCGTGCTGGGGCACCCTCAGGAGTGCCAGGACACTGTCCCCAGGCAGGGATCTCCCCACCCTCTCGGGCTCTCAGTGCCTCCCCTGCCCCAGGTCGGACAGAGACGGCTAGCGAGGAGGCCCTGCAGCTCTTCAACAAGTGGAGCAAGGACCTGGGCTTCTGGGCCCACCAGCAGGCCAAGCTGCAGAGGGACTGTGAGTGCTGTGGGGTCAGAGACGGGTGGTTCCGATGCCCATGGGTGAGATGGGGCCATCTTCTGGCATTGGCCACCCCATCCAAAGTCAGGGCTGCGGGGACAGCCCATCAGGTGTGGTCGTGGGCAGGGCTGGGCAGTGGTGCTGCCACAGCCCTGTCCTCAGGGCCACCTCCCCTTCCCTTCCAGTCACCTGTGCACAAAGGATCCTCCAGGTGAATTGCCCGCCCCTTCCTGCACCACCTGGCTCCCTGGGGGGGGGAGCCCAGGGGCCTGGGGGGGCCCTTGCCCAAGTCCATGTGAGGTGGTGGCTGCCATGAAGGAGGTGCCTGTCTGGGAGCTGGCACCCAGGGCACCTCCTGTTTCCAGCAGTGAAGGCACCGCAGCGTGCTGGCCGGGGAGGAGCTGGTGTTGGGCTGGCCGCTCCCGCGGCCTCTCTGGACCCAGAATAAAAAGACTCCACAGCAAACCTGCCCCGTGCCTCCAGACTGGGCCCGGCCGTGTGTGCAGGGCAGGCAGGGGAGCCGGAAGGCAGGTGCGGGGGTGGCCGGGGCCAGGGGTGCCGCTGGAGGCCGAGGAGGCTGCAGAGCCAGGTCTGGGACCCGAGACCTCGCTGCGCCTGCGTCCCTCCCTGGTCCTCTGGGGCTGGGGACGGAGCCGCTTCTCCCGCAGGGACCCGGGCAGGCGGGCACTGACCTGGCGGGGCTGGGGCAGGAGCCTGGGGACAGGACAAGGGTGGGCTGGCGCTGGACCAGGAGGCCAGTCCCGGTGTCCGCCAGAACCCGTGCTGGGTGTCAGGGTGACCATGCATGGCCCCGCAGGGGGGCACTGCCCGCACCCAGGCTTGGCCTCCTCTGTCTGGGGCTCTGGCTCCTTCCAGCTTGGGGAGTCAGGGCCCCAAGGGCCTGAGCCTGAGGGTCCTCCTGGGCCCAGGAAGGGGACAGCGGGGCCGGAAGTGGGCAGGGTCGACCATGGCTCACACGAGGTGGGGCAAGTGCACCTGGAAGCCCGTCCTCAAGGCTGGGAACGCACTGTGCACACGTGTGCACCACCGGCATCTGTGGACACGTGGGCACACACAGGCACTCACGTCCCTCCCACCTGTCCCTGGGCACCTGCTCAGGCACTGCGGCCTCAGGAAGATGAAGGCCCCTGGTGGCTCCCATGGTGCACCTGCCAGAGACTCGCATTGCCGGGCGCCTGGCCCTTTGCCTCTCTCCTGGGGGCTGGGATGGAGGGAGGCCCGGTACCACTGCCAGGAAGGTGGCCCAGTGCCATGACAACACACACAGGACAGGGGGTGACCCCAGGCCCACAGCAGTGAGGGACACTGGGACCTCAGTGTGGCCTCCGGGAACACGATGGTGGCATCTTCAGGGCCTCCACACAGGCCGCGTGCTCAGCGGCCAGCGATGGCCGTGCTGAGGGCCGAGTGCCAGGCCAGCTGTCGGGAGAGGCGCAGAGCCCAGGCCACACCTGCCGCCTCCACCGGGTCCTGCCCACCCACAGACTTCCTCTGGCTCAGTGCCTGGGCAGGATGGATGCCCACAGCAGGCGGGACGGAGATATAAGTGCAGCGCCTGGGCCTCGCCTGGGCTGAGGGCGGTGAGGATGGGGCTGCTGCCCAGCCTGGCCCTGGTCCTGGCCCTGGCCCTGGCCAAGGGTTCCAGCCACAGGAGAGCCCCCCCAAGGAGTCCCACAGCCTCCACTGGGGCAAGGTGAGCCACGTACCCACTGCTGCCTGTGCGGGCACAGGGCTGTGAAGGACCAGAGGCCAGGGGCAGGGTGGCGGTGTGCCCAGCAGAAGAAGCGGGCACAGCTCATCCAGGCCAGGGGTTGCTGCCTGGGTTCTGCTGCTGGGGGTGACCGGGACCTGGAGATGTTGGCAGGCATGGCCAGCAGGACAGTGGGTGAGGACATGCTGGGCAGAGGGTCCAGGCTGGGTGGCCGTGGGGGCAGTGTTCCCATGCATGGAGCCTAAGTCCTTGGGTCTGTGATGGGCAGAGCCAGGGGCGAGAGGGCAGGCGAGGCTGGGTGGCCTGGGCCCTAGCAGGCAGCCCTGGCCCCAAGCCTAGTGCACACTCAAACACGTGTGCGCACACACCTGCTCAAACACGTGTGCGCACACACCCGTACACACACCTCATTTCCTCCTTAGGTTCTCTGCTCAAACGCCACGTTGGTGAGGCTGACCTGCGCCGTTCCTCCTAGAACACAAACACCCCCTTGTCCCACAGCCCCTGCCCGACTTGTTCCATTTGCTTCCCCCCACAGCTCTTATCGCCTTTAAAAATGATATATAATTATATGAATCAGCAGTCAGTCAGGAGACGGAACCACACAATGCACTGAACAGGGAGAGTCTGTCTGATGAACAATGAACAAAGCGTGTGTACGGAGAACTGTAAAGAACAGCTCTCAGGGTCACAGGAGAGCTAATGAGGAAGGGGTCATGGGGGGAGGGTCCCTTCCACAGGCTGGCTCAGGCCTCGTGGGAGAAGGTGCGGTTTCAGTCCAGGCCTGAGAGACCTTTGTTGGGGCCATCCCTGGTCATCCGTAGGGGGCAGCTGCTAGGGAAAGGCCCGCCAGCCAGGCAAGCAGGAAGTCTCTCTGCCCTCCCACTGGCAGGTGGCCTGGGGCTGAGTTGTATCATTGTTGCATGTTCAGGTTTTTAAATACCTGCCAAGCTATTTTGGGGGGATCCTGCAAAGTTTTCTTTCCATCAGCTGCATCCACATCACCCAGGTTCTGTGCATTCTCCCTGGACCTCTGTGTAGCTGCTGTGGTTTTATTTCAGCCATCTGGATAGGTGTTTGGGAATACATCCTTGGGGTTTTTATGTACATCTCACTAGTGACTAGGGAGGCTGAGCATCCTTCCTGTCCTTACTCCCATCGGGAGGATTACTCTGTTTGCTGAAGGATCCTTCATTGTTTTGCTCATTTTCTAATTCTTTTTTAAATGTTGACTTTGATAGTTCTTCATACAGTCTAAAAGCTAGTGTTCCGTCAGATACTTGGTTCACAAATATTTGCTCCCATTTCTTCGTTTTCATTCTACTTTGTTACTTCTGCTGTTACTACTTCAGACATCCCAGGTGGTGGCTTTCAGACTGTACCACCTCATTGCCCCTTGGGTTTGCTTTTGGTGAGCTGAAAGTCTGGGGTTGCATCTTGTTTAAGTGTCCTCTCATTTCTCTCTTTTTAAAGTTTAATTTTTGCGTTGATGCTTGTAAATTCCTATGGTGAGTAGCTTTATTGCTAGTACTTAGAACTCTTAGGAAATGACTATTTCTCAGAAGTGTCTTCCATATGTAGCTGGCTTTTGAGTTTTGAGTCTGTTGCAAGATCCTGCCTCTTCTGTTTATTGGGGATGAGGAGCTGCTGCCTACTTGACCCAGCCCTTGGTTCTTAGGAATTGGCCTGTAGTATTTTTTATGATCCTTTGGTAATCTCAGTCTTGGTATACCAGGAAGCACAATTGGTTGGAACAGTTACATCCCTTTGGCTAAAGTGGTACAATCAGCAATCACAATAGCATCAAACACAACCTAGAAAATGATAAACTGAGGTAACTATTAATTTGCTACCTTTAACCATGTGAACTAGATTTTTATAGATTTGTGGTTATACAAAAAACCCTAAAATGAACCAGAAAATTGTATGTAGTAAATAATACAATATAGTATTATTATATCCCTTCAATATAGTGATTTTACCCTCAGGGGATAAAATTTTAAAAGAAGTTGGGGGAAAATTAGATAAACAGAAGAAGAGGAAGAGATTAGAAGCAAGGCTGGAGGACAAAGGAAGATCACACAAACTTTAGGAAACTGATGAAGACAGGAAGGAAAGAGAGAAAGAAGAAATAGCAGAACAGAACAACAAAACTAGAAACCACCTTCACACTCATATAAAAACAAGAACAAACAATAAAAAAAGAGAGAGAAAAAAAAAGAAGAAAAGAAAAGAAAAGAAAAAAAGATGACCATTTTAAGGTGTGTGTCTGCTGTCACTGGTAGACAATGTGACCAGAGCTCAGATCTGAGTTGATTAATTCCAACAAGTCAGCTGTAGCTTTACAATGGCATATTGGATAATTCCAGCGAGCCTGCAGCTTTAGTTCCACTGAAGTTTGGGCTGGTTTTTGGCTGTGCGGCTGGAACCAGACCCATCCAGCCTACAGCAGTCTGTGTGGCCCTCCAGCTTGAACTTGGTTCCCTGCCTGCTCAAACTCAGCTCCCTGACTTCCTCCTGGTCACCTGAACTTGGGTCCCCCACCCTGACACTGGGAGCCACTAGATGGAGCCAGCAGTTGCTCTGAGTGCCCTTCTCCAAGATGGCTCCAGGCTCAGTTGGCCCCTCTCCAAGATGGCTCCCAGCCAATCACCCTCTCCTGGGGGACGTCTGAACCTGAAAAACTTATCAGCCATTGCAGTCTGCTGTGCCTACTGCTTCATTCCACTGGTGCAGTTCTCCATGGAGGTCTCTGGGATCACCAGTAGTAGCTGAGGGTCTGCAGGTTCAAGCCACTCCTCCTACACAGTGAGTCTGGGCTCAGAAAATACCAACAGCCACTTCCTCCTCCTTTGTTGAGGTCTCTCTCTTTGTTCTCACCATGGACTTCAAGTCTTATTTTAGATCCTTCCTAGGTCCTGGGGACTCACTTCCCTGCTTCTCCTCCTCATGCTGCTATATTCCAGTGTCTGAAGACCAAATCTCAAGGAGACTTTCTCTGCTGTCACCACTCTGCTATTTTCCTGGAAAATTTATAGTTTTAAAAATTTATTTTATCATTATTGTGTCATTTTTAGCATAGAGATCCTACACATGATATGTAAGACTTACACCCAAGTGTCTTATAGTTTAAATGATTGTAAATGGCATTGTTTTTAATTTTAGTGTCCATTGCTCTTATGTAAACATGCAATTGAATTTTGTATATTTATTTTGCATCCTGCAACATCGTTGACTGTGTTCATTAGTTCTAGGAAAAATTTTTTTTGCTGGTTGGTTGGATTTATTATGTTTTGTTTTTATATTTCTTGAGATATTTTTACATGGACAATAATGTAGTCTGGAAAAAGAGACAGCTTTATTCCTTTCTAATTTGTATGCCTTATTTTTCTTCCTTTCCCTTCCCTCCCCTCCCCCCTTTCCACTCTTACTGTTCTGTCTAGAACTTTCTGCATTATGTTAAATACAAGTGGTGGTGGTGAACATCTCCACTTAGTCCCTGATGTGTGTGTGTGTGTGTGAGAGAGAGAGAGAGGGAGAGAAAGAGAGTCAGAGACAGAGACAGAGACAGAGAGAGAGCTCAAAATATTAGCTGTTGTCTTGGTTACTTTTCCCTCTTTGCTGGGACAAAATACTTGACACCCAAATTAAAGAGGAAAGGGTTTATTTAGCTCGGTTGATGGAGGTTTCAGTCCATACTTGGCTGGCTCCAATGCAGAGT